TCTTCCTCCCGCCAGCAGGCCTCGCTGACCCGCCTGGCCAGGGAGCCCGCCGGCCTGCGTGGCTGGAAACACAAACACCTGGGAACTACTCTTTCCTTCTCCCAGCAGCAATGGTGAGATGAGCCCCCAGGCGCACAGGGACTGCTCTGAGGTCCTTGGCACGCACTCAGCTCACCAGATTAAGCTCCATCCCACTGGCTTCCATCGGTAAGGTATGCAGCCAAACTTTTGGATGAGCATTAGCTGATTTATTAAAATTATATGAAAAAATACCAATGAGGGTTACAAAAGATTCCAAATAAAAATGCTTCACATTCATTTTTTAATTTAAAAATACTTCCTGAAATTACATTCTAGACAAGTAGAGAATGAGCTAAACAAGGTATATGGAAGCAGCCTAGGGTTTGCTGTTATAATTATTACAAAGAAACCATCATTCTACCAAAATCCATGAGTCTGCCCTGGCTCTCAGCAGGGCTCAACTCCGCACTCAGACACACCTGAAGCTTCAATCCACTCGGTCATTCCTGGGCCGGACCGCACTGACTGCACACAGTGTGCGAGGGGGAGGGGCGGGCTTTAAAAGTCCCCTAGACAAGTCTCGTCCAAACCCAGAAGAGGCTCAGAGAATCCGGCGTCTGTGTGAGAGGCGGAGAGCCTCCCTGGTCTGCTATGGATCTCACTGCCCCCAAACCGGGAAGCGCCAGGTTAAAGCGAATGTGAGATGATCTAGGACTGACCCACCCTCTGATGCCACCACGATCCCACGAGCTTGGTCTTCACTGGCCACTGCTTTCCATAACAGCAGCTCTAAGTCTCTAAAAAAGCATTTTAAACTGTTAGCACTGCTAGAAGCCACGTTCTCTCCTTGTGACCACAGGAGAATCCTAGAGGATATAAACAATTAAAATCTATAGAAAACGGCAGGTTATTTTTAGAACATTCCTATACTTTACGAAAGTCTTTTAGCTAAATACAGTATATAAACCAGTGTGTTCACCATCCCCACCCATTCCTGCTTGCAAATACTTACAGTCTTGACAGTGATCAAAAAGGTTGGCCAAGAGAAACACGTGCAAAGCAAAACAGGAGACCACATTCACGCTCTTCTACACCGATTAAACCACACTGAATAAATATCAGTTCGAAAATAGAGCTATAATCTAAGAGTTGCCTTTAAAAAAGCGTAGTGGACCTTGTCTATGAGTAGCTTTGCATAGGTAGTAAGAGCATGCCTTCTGGGTTAGCTGCAGGCCATGCATACTGTCCTGTCCCATGGGTGAAGCATGGCTGCTCAGGCTGCATGTGCAGCTGCAGACACACCTCTGGGCACTGAGCGAAGGCAGTGAGACTGACTATTCAACCAAAACAAAAGCTTAGCGTTTACCCCAAAATACTCCCGCAGGCTTAGCAACAATGCACCCTTTATGAACTTAGACAGCCTGCACAGGAACACTACCTTTTGTGTTAACCACAGGCACTGGCTGGTCAGCAATTTTTGCTCTTTTCTATTTCAAATGATTCAAAGTTCAACTCACCTCACAGAATGTTTTATAGAATCTGTGCTTGTCACTTGGATACTATTTCAAAATTCCAACCCAGGAACACTAATTATCTTTGCATCCGACAATTATAACTCCAGAAAACAGTAATGTCTGCTGCTCAGTAATTTTATCAGAATGAAAGGTGTCAATCTACTTGAAACACAGGTTTATTTTATGTAAATGAGCTCTGCTCACTGCTTTCATCAGCTCCATTTTCCTAAAGGCTGCCACTGCCGTCCTTCACACGCTGTTGCTGTGTACTCCCTCCAACCTCCACTTCACTCCCTCCCCGCAAAATCCCCACATCCATCTCATACCATCTCGTACGTCTAAGTACGGAAACAGCTGTCTGGAAAGTGGACGCAGAGGGGCACGCCTCGGAGGTGAAGGGCACTTTGGTTTCCAGAACACACTTGCTCCAGAGGACTTGGCCGTGTCAGCAGACCCCGTTCGCTCTGGCACTCGCTGAGGCTCCGGTCTATCAGCTGCGCTCCCAGGCTCCGCGGCCACAGACTGCTGGAGCAGCAGCTGGCCTGCACACGCAGAGCAAGCCCTCCACCAATGTGTCAGAACGAACGGATAACGATGGAAGCATGATTACAGGAGCTGAGGGCAGCCTCAGATGATTACAAATCTTCACCAAAACACAAACACTCCTATCGGTCCAGCATGTTCCTCTCAGGCTGCTTTTCGGGGGAAAACACAAAGAGGTGGGAGATGGTCTTGCATGACATGAGCCTAACAGCCTCCGCGCGCACCTTGGGGAGGGACTGCGAAGTAAAGGCCCAGGACTCAGGTATGTGGTGGCCTCAGTGCCTGGGGTGTTCCCTGGAAAGAAATCCAAATGCAATGTTTCCTAAGTGGACAAACAGGAGATGAATTCCGTGGTTGGTGGTTATTCTGTGCTCACCAGGAAATGAGTGCTCGGATGAGGCCAGAAACCCAGGCCCACAATCCTTAATAGATGATCTCCAAGCCCAAACACATGTCTGCTCATTGTGTCCGATGTCACCAGGGAAAAAACAAAACCAACACCAAGCCCCTAACCTACCAAAGACCTGAACTGAACCACATAACCATTTCCCACACTTTACACCTCCAAGGGGACCTGCAAACTTCCGGGCAAGACAGCCTTCTCTGTGGCTTAGCGTTTGTACCTGGAGATCAGGGACGAACTTTTCACTGCTTAAGCACAGAAATGTAACAGCTTAGAGATGCCTAGACAATGCCGTAATATTTCCTGATTTTTTCCACTTAAATCTGAAACGGGGACTAAATTCATAAGCATACAATTTTATAAATACTGAAATTTTATTTTTAGATCTCATGGAAAATTAAAGGAGTTTGTAGTGTGCTTTTTTAAGACACTAAACCAAATGGAAAATCCATTCCTGAAGCACTCAAGAATAAAAATATTTACCACTGTGAAAATTAAATTACTTTCCATTCATGCTTAAATCATTATTGCCCCAAAAGGTGTTCATAAAACCTGTTATGTAGCCAAACTATAATTCTAACACTTTGCAGAGATACAGATTTCAATGCGGTTTGCCTGTGAGAGAAAGAGGCGGCTCCGATCGGACGAACACCGAGTTCACGATGCTGGCGATCCCACGTTTGTGATACAGAAAACCAGTGCCAAACAGACCGGTGTTCCACGTGCGGTCGGAAGCGAGAATCCCGGCAGCCGGGCATCGGCAGTCGTTGCTCTGGAGCCACAGGACCGGGCGCGGGGCAGACACGCGTGCTCAGGAAATGTCGGGGAGCACTATGGCAACTTCCACAAGCGGAGTCTCAGATATCGCAAGGGTCTAAAATTCCAGCTACCCTCAACAAAAATGGCCTCCAGACTTGTGAGTTACTTGCTAATGCTCAAATTAGCAGCAAAATAAAGTTAACTAATCTACTGGAAACATTTCCCAAGAGGTATTCATGGAAAAACAACAAAAGGCAGTGCAGAATTCACAGCTGTGTGTGGTCACCTCACACACAGCAGGACTGAGGGGGATTACACGTGGGTCCAAGTGCCAGGAGTTTAGGAAGAACTTGAAGAACCTGTGAGCTTTTGGAAGTTAGTATGGAAGAGCATATAAACATAGCATGCTATATTTCATGGCAAAGTGACAAATGCTATTCAAATAGAATGAGAACCAAGACTCTCTTGACATTTAGGTAAACGAGGAAAAAAACTAAAACTTGCCAGGATACCTCCCAGAAAGCTTGGAAACCAGGTATCTTGCTTACCTGTGAGATGTCTGAGGTTCTCTAACCAGGAAATGCAATTGTATGAGCAGGGCCCGATGGAACATGTGCGGACCCCGCCGAGTTCTGGTGAGGGATTCAATCTTACGCACGAAGAAGTGAGTGAATTCCTGAAGAGCAGTCACTGAGCCCAACAGGCAGGATCAGAAACGTGTATGTAATACTTGGTTACATGTCACTTCACTACCACTGACTTCCAGCCTGAGCGACTTCTTTCCTCTTCATAACTGACCCGACTGCAGAGCCGGGGCACGGAGCTCCCAACGTCTACAGGAAAGGCAACACCGAGGAGGACAATGGGAGAGAGTCAGTGTGCAGTGAGAATCCTTCTTCTTTTCCCAGGAATCTTTAAAAGATTCCTCTACTGCATGACTACTCTTCAAACTCCCAATGGCTTCCACGAGCAAATTTAGAAGGGAAAAAACTTAACGATGAGTAACTGGTTTTCTGAATACCCAATTTGCCACATCTTGGGACCCACACCTTTGCCAATGTGACAGCAGCAAAACACCACTTCTACCTATAAGTGTCCATGTGTGGCAGGAGGAGGAATGACAGTCACTGACAGGCCACCTTCCTCTCTAGTCCTTTTCTGGATACACACCCTCCCAGCCTGGCTGAGTATATACCTGAGAAACATTAGTGTTAAAATATTGCCCTTGACAAAGACTGGTAGATGGGGCCAAAGTGCAGGAAGCAACCGTTTTCTCTCGGTTTGTCTCATTGTTAGTGTCACAGTTTTTAGAACTCCTGGTACCACATGACAGTCCCCTTGGGGACAAGCCCTGCTCAGCTGAACCCCAGGTCAAATAATTCATCCTTCTACAGAGCACAGTAACGACACCTTGACTGGCCCCAGGTTCCAATGAGTCATTAGATTTCTCTAAAAGAAATATGTACAACTGCTAAAGGGACTGTCCGGGGTATCCTCTGTCATTTTTCCAGTTAGCTCAGTATTGATGCTTTGCCTATGGCTGTTATTTGGTTCAATGGCAGAATAAGGCGACGCTTTTAACAATTTGCAATTGAATTCCACACACACACACACACGCACACGCACACACGCATGCACGCAAGCACACACATCAGGCACATGACCCAAAAAATACAAAACGAAAGCATAGAGGGCTTTGGTGGGGGGAGGGAGGGTTCTAAATAAATAAACGCGTCACAGGTGGCTGGAGCGCAGCGGCGTCACTGAGGCTTCGGAGGCGGCCGTGCAGAGGCTGGCATGCTCGAAGATAACCTTTGGGAGGGCCTCTCGGAGGACTGCCTGCCCCGAGGAGAGGAGAGGGCTCCGGAGTCTAGAGGGGAAGACTTGGACTTGCGACTGGCCAGCAGGGAATGTCTAGCAGAAGCAGGGTCCCTGGAGACAAGGTGCTCTTTCCCTGCGGAACTGGCATTTGGCTGCTGGGAGCCTGGAGGCCGGTGCCCTTTCTCTGCCTTGTCCTCCCCCGCGTTCTTACAGGCCGACTTGGCAGAGCTCCCCCCGGCCTTCTTGGAGAGCAAGGTGGTCTTGCCGAGGTCAGCGGACCGCCGGGTGTCCTTCTGCCTCAAGGCTGACTTGAAGAAGGACAGCCCCTTCTCATCCGATTTGCTGTCCCTCTTCAGACCAGCCTTCACACTCGCACCGGGGGAGCGCAGGCTGGCCATGGAGGAGCTCCTGACCTGCTTCCCATCCCCCCGGCCCTCCCCCGCCCGGGCCTGGCTCACCCGAGGGGAGCTGGGCTTGGAGCCGGAGGGGACGCCGGCCCGGTCGGAGACCAGGCTTTGCCTGGAGCCCTCTCTGCTCAGGCTCCGATCTGAAGTCCCGCCCTTCCCGGGGGCGAGGGGGCCCCTCGGGGCAGGGCCCGGGGCTTTTTTGGCAGCGGTGGAGGGAGCAGTGCAAGTGAGGGGAGAAGCCGACTTCAGCTTCTGGGGCGAAGGAGAGGCCACTGAGTCCTGGGCTCTGGGGGAGCACTCCTTCCTGGGAGGGGCGGGGGCCCTGGAAGACTCCGCTTTGCTTCTGGAGCGGGAGGGCTTCACAGAAACTTTGGCAGCAACCGGAGAGGAAGGGGAGGTGCTGGACTGAGATGACCCCCGGCTGGCCAAGACGGACCTCCCCTTCCGCGAGCTTCTGTCGGGCTCAGACGCACCTTTGGAGCTGGGGGAACTCCTGGTTGTGCTCTCTGGTTTCTTGGTGAGGGAGCCTGGGTGGCTTGGGGGTTTCACCTCTTTGACGGGAGAGCTGTCTACAGAATCGCTCTGGTCCACGTAAGCTATCTGGTTATTGTTATCAAACGGATCAGAGACGGAGGGCAGGCGAGCCCCTTGTGCTGAGTGTTTGCTCTGGGTGTCTGCAACACTGGAGTGCAATCTGTGGGCCTCCGGCTCGTCTCTGCACACGCCTTCCATGACAGCCAGCGGGGCCCGGCCTGCAGCCTTGTGCTCCCGTCGACTGGGAGCGCCGCCCAGGTCCTGGGCACTGCTGGAAAGGCTCCTCAAGCTCCCAAAGCAAGAGACGGAGGCCTTGTCATCCACTGCCTCCCCAATCTTCTCCAAGGTGGAGGCAGAGGCGTGAACCGGAGAGTCCCCTGAGAAGCGGGAAGGAGAGCTGGAGCGCATCTGCAGCTTGGCCGACAGGGACCAAGAAGGTCTGATGCAGTTTTCATGGACGGCCAAGGGGCTGGTGACAGAAGACCTGGATGACAGGCTCTGGCGCTGGACACTCCTCACGAACGGTCGCGTCGAGAAACCTCCTGCACGCACAAAGAGAACATCGTTAAGCTAAACAGCAACGAGGCCGGGAGCACCTACCAGGGAAAGGAAGGCGAGCATCTGGGACGACAGGAGCATGGCGCTCAGAGCAGCACATCTGGGGTCAAAGAGTAGTGAGGCCAGTTCCCTCCCTCACCTACCCAACAGGTGCATTCTAATTCAGGGACCGGCAAACTGTCTCTGCCTGCCTGCTCTCCACCAGGGATCAGCACTGTTTTCCTGTACAGGCCCAGCCAGGAACCACTTTAGGCTTTGTGGACCCCATCTCATGAAAGTAGCCATGGTTGACACATCAACAAATGGGCATGGTCGTGTTCCAATGGAACCTTATCTTATCGAATCCTTCTAATAAAGAGGGAAAGTGCTAATTGACCCTCATACCGTTGCAAAGATGGTGGCGTCCACAGCCACAAGATGGCAGTGCCTAGTCCCCTCAGTCCTGCCAGGGCACCTGCCTCCAGAGTTCCCCAGTCCCCTCAGCCCCGCAGCTGCCCAGGGCTGGCCCGAGGTGCAGGCAAGCCTCAGCTGGTGGCTGCCGAGCCACCCAGGGCTGCCCAAGGCTTGCGCTGCCAGCAGTGGCAGCAGCAGAGGTGTGATGGGGTGTAGCCTTCCCCTGATCGCTGGGTCGCCTCCCGCCCCTCAGAGCTCCCAGACTGAGGGGGGCAGGCCGGGCTGAAAATGCATCCACAGGATGCATTTTCATGCACCGGGCCTCTAGTGAGAAAAAAATCAAATCTTTAAAAAGCCCTGTGCCCAGTGCGGTATCTGGCACTCCACAGATGCACAATGAATGTGAATGGCTGAGTCATCTTAGCTCACTAAGGATTTTTGGGACGCACAGAAGGCAGTCTTTGCCCCAGATGGCACAGAGTCAGAGTCAGAGCGAACACCAGAGCTGCAGCTCTAGCTCACACACAATGCCACATGCAGGTGCCTGTACTTGTTAACTAGGAAAGCAGAACCACACAAAGAACTAAAGAGACAATATACTCCTATCATGAGTGACTTAGAACTTATTTAAAAATATTCATAACTAGAATAATATAAATCCAAAGAGCCCAGCCAGTGTGGTTCAGTGGTTGAGCATTGACCTATTAACCAGGAGGTCACAGTTCAATTCCCAGTCAGGGCACATGCCTGGGTTATAGGCTCGATCCCCAGTGTGGGGCATACAGGAAGCAGCTGATCAATGGTACTTTCTCATTGATGTTCTATCTCTCCCTCTCCCTTTCTCTCTGAAACCAATAAATATATTTAAAAATTTAAAAAAATAAAAAACTTCCAGCCCTTGAAGAAAAAAATGGTGGCCGAATAGGCAGACGTGTCCTGTGCCTTGTCCCAGAGCAGACAGAAGAAGCAACTAAATTGAATAACATCCACCCAGATTGGTAAGTTGAGCACAGCTAGTGAGACAATTCATAACTGGGAAGGGATGCCTAGAGAACGGGGATCTGGGCTGGAGAGAGATGTGCGACCACCAGGCCAAGAGGGTCAGAAGAAAGCTGCAGGGCACCAAGTCTGCATACCTTGGGGACAGGCGTAACATCCAACTGTGGGAGGGAAGTCCACAGGCTGCTGGCGGCTGGAGATTCTAGATCTAAGCCCACAGCTGTGAGAGGCTGTGCCCAGAAAGGTGGCCTGCAGAGCTGCCTGAGCCAAGAAGTGCCAAGGGGGAGAGGAACTCATAGTCACGTGGTTGTTTTGCTTTTATTTTATCTTCTTTTATCTGCTAAACCCAGTTCATTTACAATTACATTCACCAAGGCTGCTGTGCAGGTGTTGGTACAGATGTGTGGGGTCTGGGGAGAGGCTGTGGAGGAGAGTGGGTCAGGGAGAAGTGACAGGAATCCAGCACCGAGACTTTCCTGACCCTCCAAACTAAGCAGCCATTTTCTCCTGAAGAGTCAGCCCTCTCAACAGCCTCAAGACAGCCAATACAGTCACACCCAACCTACACCTTGAGCTGCACAGAGAACACAAAGGAGCTAGAAAGGAGCTTAGCAGCCATAGCCCAGTACTCTTACTATAGAAGCAGAGAAGCAACAAGCCCGAGCTGGCAGAGCTGATGCTAGGGGTACATCCCCCAGGCTGGCACATCCTCCCAGCCCCCGCCTGGGCCTCTATCCGTGTCCTCAGAAGACCCCTCACCACCAGAGGCAGTTACACTGTCACAGTGCCGGCGCAGTGAGGCTTGCTGGAAGGAAGGTGAGTCAGCGTCTCATTCAGCTCTTGCAGTGCTGGCTGCCTTGGTCCCAGCCACCTGGTCCCTGATGGAACTAAGGGCCGTGTGTGCTGCCACTACTCCACAGGTAAATGAAGGTAAAGAAAGAGTTCCATTTTTATCAGATTTCCAAAGTTTTTATGTTGTGCTTATCTTCAGAATTCCCAAAAACTACTTCCATGGAGAGGTACTAAACGCTCCTGACAAAGAACGCGCCAGTCCTCTCAGGGAAACGGCGTGGTGGTGGTGGTGGGGGGGGAGGGGGGTGAGATGCCGGGCGGGCGGGAGCTCCCTGCGAGGCCCGGCACCGGCGTGCTGCACTGAGGCCCCTCACCGCTTCCAGGAAGGTTTTAAAAAGCGCTTTGAAAAAACTGTATTCATTATTGTACAGAGTCAAGGCCCCAGGCTCCACGCCAGCCCTTCAAAGTCAAAAATGATGAAAGAGAAGAAAGAAGTCTTAGGTCACGCCCCGTGCACAGCAGACGGCACGGACGACCAGACTGCCGCGCCTCCCACAACCTTCCTGGACTTGGTTCCTAAACAGGAGGGACCGGTGCTGCCCCTGAGTTGCCTCTTGGAAGTCTGTCACCAAAACACAGAACACACACTCACCATCATCTTCACTCCTCTCCCCCGTCATCTCCACAGACTCGGACAGCGAGGCCAGGGAGGTCCGTCGGGAGGAAGCTGCCGAGGTGGCGCTGGCGGGCTTGCTCCCCGGGAGCCGGCTCACCCAGTGCTCGCACAGGGAGGAGCTGGTGGAGCCTGCAGAGAAGGGGGGCCCCGAGGTCAGGCAGCACCGGGCCTGCACAGCACCCCTGCACCCTGAGCACTGCGGGTCAGCATGAGCTGCCAGACCCATGTGCTGCTCCGCAGCCCTGCCAAGCCGAGTGGGCACGGCTGCAGTGACCATTAACATGAGCACAGAACGGACAGTTCACAATGCATGCCCACGTCGCAAGGGCCGGCAACGGAACAGGCTACTCACGTTCATTCCTTCTGCACACACTTACGAAGCGCTACACAGTGCCTGCCTCACACTGACACACAGGAAGGAGAGAGAGCAGCCGTGCTGTTATTTCCTCCGCCTTGCTGTTTGTTGACTTTTAAAGTCATTTTCGCAGTATTAATATACAAACACAAACACAGGGCTCTGTGTCGATCTGTCCTGTGTCTCAGGAACGCCCTTAAATACACATGAGAGCAACAGCAACTGCTTTTAAGTTGAGAACATGAAGCAGCATGACAGTCAGTCTCAAGTAGCCCTCACGAGGGTGTCATTTCTGAGCACATCCCAGGCTCTAGGAAGCACTGAGGACTCAGAGCACTGGGAGACCCACTTCTGTTAACGAGTGAGTGGCAGACAGATGGGTGCACTGGGGGGTGGCGTCTGACTCCAGCAGGGGCCACTGCTCAGGATGCCTCCTTTTAGCAGCTTCTACCTTAGCTCTTGCAAGCTTCAGGGGGAGCACAAACCCTAACCTGACTACATTCCCACATCCCAGTCCCGTCTTATTCTCTTCAACTCAAACCCTGCACTAAGCAGCACCCGCCCCTTATGTGTGAGCAATGATTCCTGCATTTATTAAAACAACAGACTAGACCCCTTCAAACTCAACTCAAGCCGTCTATTCTCCCTTAGTCTTCAATTCTTCCCCTAATAGAACAGGTCAACTTTAGCGGGGGGGAGGAGAGCTATTTCCAACAGCGTTTAATCCTTTACAAAAGGCTTTAAGATGTATTTGCCTAACCACGTGGTCAGCAAACTGCAGCTCGAGAGCCACATGCAGCTCTTTAGCCTCCTGAGTGTGGCTCTTCCACAAAATGCCATGGCCTGGGCGAGTCTATTTTGAAGAAGTGGCAATATAAGAAGTTTAAGTTTAAAAGATTTGAATCTCAAAAGAAATCTCAATCATTGTACTGTTGATATTTAGCACTGTTGACTAATGAGTTTGCCAACCACTGGACTAACCTGATGCATGCAAGGACCCCAAGAGACACGCAGTGGTATTGCACCAGGATTATGGATGATAAATATGTGCTTGAACAGGACGTGCCCCAAGGTCACCAACCACAATGTGGCAAAGCCAAGTCTCCGTCCTTCTTCCCAACCTCTCATTCCCTCTACTTTCAGAGTGCAGGCCATGCTGCTTCGTAGCTCCCTTACCCCACGTGTGGTTCTCCCCAGCACTAGTTCCCCTCCCTGTGAACTCTGCTGGCTCACAGCTGCTCGCACATGCCACCCTCATTTCCTTAACTGCAATCATTTTAGTTCCAAGATTAAATGCAAATGTGAGGATTAATCTGACCAAACTGACAGAGGCGGGACACCTCCTGGGAATTTCTGTGGACATTAATGACAATCTTCTGTTCTGGGAAAAACTGCCCAGGAATCGGGGGGCCTCACCTGCCACCGAGCTGTTGGCTGACCACGACGGGATCGCCGTCCGCCTCTGGTAGAAAAGGATGTAGGCCATCTGTGTGCAGACCTCATCTTCCGACAGCTGCTGCACGTCGCTGTCGTCGAAGCAGTACCACAGCCCGTCCACGGAGTTCTTGCAGTAGGCTGCAAGGAGAGCCTGGTCAGCACCTGCACTGCACGGGCTGCCACGCCCACCGAGACCCTGTCTCTGGCTCATATAATTAACTCAAGACCTTCTAAAGGCTGCATGTAGTGACAGAGAAAGAGGTGAAAAACCCAAAATCCGTATCACGCTCAGGCCACATATTTCAAAAAATTCCAAAGAGATAAAGTTCTTTTTAATCTTAGGAAACAAAATATACTTATTTATTTAAACCAGTGGGTTTCTGGTGGGACCAAACCAGTGAGACAATTCTACCCCGGAGACATGTGGATAGGTCTGAAGGCATTCCGACTGTGCCAGCCTGGGGAAGGGGCTCCTGGCCTCCGGTGGGAGGCAGGGGTGCCCAAGCACGGGATTGTCTGGCCAAACTGTCAGCAGTGCCCGGGGTGAGAGACCCTGAGGGAAGCATGTTGTAACAGCTGGGTGTTTATTAGAGACAGAAGATAACAGAACCAAAAGTAATGTTATTAATCATAACAGCAGCTAACACTTGCTTAGAACTGACTGTGCCACACATGCACGTCTTTCTGTGAGACCTGCTCTATGATGATTCCCATTTTAGAGGCCCAGAAAGATGGTGAAGGGCAGGGCCCAGCTCACTGCAGAATTTTAAGTCCCTATCCAACACTGCTTCCCTCGGGGGTAGCATAAACCATGTCTCAGGGAAGTTCCTTGGTAGACGGAGACCATTTGAGCGCATGGATGTGTGCGGCCTTCTCCCAGTTCTGATTCTAAGCCTGAGAGAGCGATACGGAGCATTCAAGAGCCAGCATGAACGGAAACGCAATGTTCCTGACATCCTGGAAGGATGTGACAAGCTTGATCCAGAGAAGCACCACACTTCTACAAGACCTGTTTGTTGGATGGGATATAGGAGTGCTAGGATTTAGCTGACCACATGGCCCCAAGGAGGGCACACAAGCCCTGAGAGGAGGCAGTGAGTGCCTTTCCCAAGCACGGCACCCTGAGGGATGAGACACCCCGTGAGAAGGGGTCCAGCAGACAGGCTGGAAGGACAGCAGAGTGAGAATCTGTGCTTGTAGGAAGGGAAGTCTTGTGCAGCTTGGATCTGGAACCAGCCGGGAGAACCATGGAGCTATACACAGGAACGGGCAAGAGCCAGGGCAATGGTCTGGTCCATGGCTGCTCTTCTGGAATGGAGCTGGGACGGCCAGAGGACGCCCGAGAGAAGGTGACAGAGAAACCTGGCACTGGCTTCAGTCTGTTTCCTTCAGATGATTTGTCCCCAGCCACCTGCACACATCACTCCCCAGTGCACCAGACGCCACGGATGGGCCTGCTCAGGAAAAGGAGGAGGGTTTTCACTTGTTTGCTCTTAGACAAAGAGCCAGAGGATGAAAACTGCCCTGGCAGTTGGCACATTGGCTACTGAAGGGCAGTGAGGCTCTAAGGCAGTGACCCTGTCACAAGCAAACACGCCTGAAGGCATCATCCGCACAGACACCCGGCCCCCCGCACTGCAGACCTGTGTAGTGCCCCCCTTGCATGGTGCCATGATGATTGCACACAGCATACAGGTCATAGACGTAGTCCTCAGGGTCCCTCCCGAGTCCATAAGGTCGTCGCCATGGAGACCAATGGGACGGCAAACTCCAGCTGCTCTGGCTTCTCTTAACCACATGAGGCGTCATGTCCAGGCCAGTCAAGGGGAACTTGACCATGTTCTGAAGTTTCACACGCCTGTCTCCTTCCTGTCACAAGAAGAAAGACAAATCCTGATGATACTTTCCCGCAAACAGGTGGCGAATGCGTTCAGTGTGGAACGTGGGCTCTAGCAGCTGCAGTGTCTTGAGTTACCTGTCTGATGTTCCCCAAGACACACCCAAAACAGGGAAACAGACGAGCTGTTTGGACTGTCTGGAGGAATAGGTTTTAAGATCACTAAAAATGGAACCAGCAATGACCTACATATAAGGGGTAATGAGACTCCCCGAGTCTCCACTTCTTACCTGATAAAGGGCTTTTAGGTTTTTGACTCACCAACTGACCATTTCAGGTGGTTCGTCCTGATACCTCTGTCACAAAAGCATGAGAGAGATGGAGTAATAACATATGGGAAAGACGAAGCTGGATGCCCAGCACGACAGCCACTCACTGAGCACTGCTTTTTAAATTGTCTTCTGACCCACCCCTCCGGCAGTAGTGTGAAAAGTTAACACTGATTTAGCTTAATCTATTCGTTTAGTTTACAATCCTGGGTAATCTGTCTTTTCCACACATTCATAGGGAAATTCTGTGAAATCCAACTGTCAGCTGAATATTTTCTGAATGTTTCGTGTGTCTGTGGGAGCTTTAAAATATTAATCGGGCCTGCCTGGTGTGGCCCAGTGGTTGAGCATCGACCTATGCCGGGTTGCGGGTTTGATGCCTAGTAGGGGACATGCAGGAGGCAGCCTGATGTTTCTATCTCTTCAGTCCTCTCTTTTCCTTTCTTACATCGATAAAAACATATTAAACTTTATTTAAAAAGATTAATTGGGTATGGATAATGGCTACCCCAAGGAGATATGGATCTATTAAGGGAAGAAATTTTTTCATAAGACAAAGGTAAGATGGGTCCTAGGTGATCAGGAAGCTCAAGCTAAAGATTTTAAACTTGGTTCTTAGTCAAGGGGGAAGTACTGAGCTTTGAGGAGGTGATGTCATTGGAGCTGTAGGTGAAGAACTGTGTAAGTAGTGCATAAAACATGGTAGAAAAAGTAATCTAAGAAATCAGTTAAAGACACTGCAGCTCAGCTAGCATGGCTCAATTGGTTGAATATCGGCTCGTGCACCAGGAAGCTGCGTGTTTGATTCCCGGTCAGAGCACATGCCCAGGTTGCCGGCTCAATCCCATCTCTAGATAGGGGCATGGAACATCAATGTTTCTATCTCCCCCTCCCTTTCTCTCTCTGAAATCAATAAAAACGTGTTTTGTTTTGTTTTTTTAAAGACATTGCAATTGCAACCAGCTAAAAAGTACCAAAAGTTTGAACTGGCAGGGTGACAGCAAGAATGGAGAACCCTGGCCTGGTGGCTCAGTTGGACGTCGTCATGTGCACTGAAAGGTGGCTGGTTCAATTCCTGGTCAGGGCATGTGTCGTAGCTGTGGGCTCAATCCCTGGTAGGGGGCCTGCAGGAGGCAGCCAATCAATGCTTCATTTTCACGTCAATATTTCTATCTCTCTCCTCCCTTCCTCTAAAAATCCTTTTTAAAATTCTTAAAAAAAAAAAAAAAAGTGGGGAGCAGGGGACAGACACAGGAGGCAAGAGAGAGGCGTAACAAAGCAGAGAAGGTGCCTGCCAGGGCCTAGAGAGGGGCTAGAGAGAAGAGTCAAAGACACGCTGTGGGCACCGTTCAGGGTGCTGGGAGGTGACGCTGTGCCTTCCAAAGGCACAGAAAGCAAACTAATCAGCGTGTGTGGGAAGGAACAGAGAAGGCTGGGTTCCCAACCCTCAACAGCTCCCCGCCTGCATACCCCAATGGGCGCGTGCAGTTGGGACACAGCTGGCCCCCAAATCTGTGGGAAAGCCCCAGTCCCGGAGCCACGTGCAGGCCACGTGGTCAGCAGCCCTAACTAAGCCTCTTACCCCTCTCCCTGTCTCTCCAACTCCTCTGCCACGACTGAGCCCCAGCCATCAGCACCCCTCCCAGCCCTGAGGACTGCACTGCCCCTTCAGATCTCTGCCTTCATTCTTGTCACTTCTAAGCCCTGACAACCCGCCCCCCACGTCGTCCACCTCAGCTCGCACCTTTCTCTCCAACCCTCTGGTGCTCCAGCCAAACTGGCTGCAGCCAGCCTCTGGCATGGCCCTACTCTCCAGGGTGCGGGGCTCTGCACACCCTGCTCCCCTACTGCCTACCCTAATTTCAGACACAAAACTTCCTAGAGCCAGCCCACACCCCTCTACGCGTACCTCCTGTGTAGCCCTCACACAGGGAGGCTGTCCCGGACCATCCTACCTCAGGACAGACAGCCGTTCTGGACACACTGACTCACAGAGCAATGTCACTCAGAGCAGATCTTCTTGGTGCCTGTTTCTAACTCCTTTCCCCAACTGTACAACTGCCCCTGGGCACAGGATGCCCCCGTCATGCCTTCGGGGAGAAACACCTTCCTCCCGCCCCAGAAAGGAGCTCTCCTTTTCTTTTTAATCCGAAGTACGGGATGCTCACCAGAACTGAAACAGCATTTACAACCCTGTAGCAAATGCTCCAGAACCAAGTAGAACATCCACAGTCTGAACTAAATGCATAGGCTTTAAAGGCCACAGGACACCTAACTCTGGAAAGAAACAAGGGAGCCCCCAGGGCAGAGTGTGTCTGTAACCGACAGGAGCACAGGCCCCGAGCGCCACAGCCACGTGGCCGGCCGTCCTCACCTGCCGGAACCTCTTCAGGTGGACGATGAGCACGTCCGGCAGGGTCCACAGGCTCAGCGTGATGCTCCCCTGCTGCAGCTGCTTGCAGTGCGGGCAGCGCCAGGCGTCGTCGGGGGCCAGCTGGAAGGAAGCGAGGGCAGGACTGTGTGGGCGCCTCAGGGCGCAGCTTCCCGGGGACGCGCTGCGCTCACTTCCCGGCCAGTGCCCGAAACCAGAACCTGCCTGGAGGCACCACACTGCTGGTGGGTTCTCTCAAAGGGCCGTGACTGTCTAGAGCAGCGGTGGGGACCTTTCTCTGCCAAGCCCAGTGGGATACTTAGGACATCATTCGAGTGACGCACAAAATTATTAACTTAAAAACCAGCCTGCTGTATTTGGTAAACTTGCTAAATCTGGTAAAACATTTAATTAACTCACCCCTCATGCCTTGGTAGGCCAGACCAAATGATGTCGCAGGCCTTCTATGGCATGCAGGCCAGGCGTCTCCACCCCTGGTCTAGAGAGTATGATCCAGAAGCACCTCAAACTCAGTGTATTCCCCAAACTCATCACCTTCCCATCAATATAGTCCCCTTTCTCCTCCTTTCCTGTCTCAGCAAACACCAGGACACCCCCAAAGGCAGACCAGGGGGGCTATCCCAAACCCTCAAACCTTTCCCTCTTCCTCCCGCTCCATGTCCACCTACAGTTATTCTCTCTGCCATCTCTCGTCCTGTCTCCTCCTCTACCCTGACCAACCCCACCTGAATTTGAAGTCCTCTTATTCTCTTACCTGGCATCACCAACCTCCTAACTGTTCTCTCTCCCCCAACACTGACCTGCTCAACAATCCTCCCCTTCTGCTACATCAGGATCTTTGTAAATGTCATCTACACCTACATGTGTCATCTCTGCAGGCCAGGGGCTAACAGGTGAAAGATTCTTAAACCTGCTCTGGAAATCAGAAGCTGCATCTGATCTGGGACCACATTACAGTGAAGTAAGGGAGATCAGGGCGTGGAAGGCTCTGCCCCTGAGATTGCAAAAATAGCCCAGGACAGAAGGTAGAAATGCCTCTTTTCAAGGGAAATACAAACGTTCAGAAACCAGCAGAGCCTGAGGATGCAGAGGCAGAAACCTTTCACGGATACCAAAAAGGAGTGGTGAGGATGGAGGGCTGTCAGTGCCACGCCTGGGGAGAGATCAAGTGCAGACTGAGGCCTTCAAGAGCAGAGTGAGGAGTGTGGCCAGACAGAGATGAGGGCTTGTGAGGAGAGAAAAGTGCTGGGACACTAACGTGCAGCGGAGCAGAAGGGTGAGGAGGGCTGGCAGGCCAGTGGGAAGGGAGCAGAACAGAGGGAGTGCTTTCTCACAAGGAGAGTCATGTCTGCAGGAAGTCTGGGAGGTGAGCGCGCATCAGAAGGTGAGACTGGAAGGGGCCTCCTCTGTCAACTGGCAAGTCCACTTCGTGTGACACAGGAACAGTCCACACGCATGGCCACCCAGCCCAGTGCACCGGTTAATTTCTGACACATTACAAACAATACTCTGTAAGAGACTAAGAACCCCGTGAAACGTGTAATAACAATTCCAGTCTCTAGCACACCACTCTGACCCCTGTACTCTATCGAGCTGTAACTGCTACTGAGAGCTCCCGCCCTGCACACCACACAGTCATTGGTTTAGCTCCTGCCGGCACGCAAGGGGGGCTCACTCAGCAGGAAGCTGTTCTAGCTTCAGACAATTCATTACCAAGTTCTTCCGTGATAAGATAGAATAATTCCCTGTAATTCCAATCTTTAAATTCTGTTTTTTTTTTTAGGTAAAATTAAAAATCTTCTCCTCTACAGGATGGTCCTTGAAGTGCCTGAGTCCTTCAGGCTCCTTCGTCAAAATACATCCCGCCACGTCTTGATTCCCAGCTGCGCCATCCTGGCCACTCACTCAGGTTGCGCCTGGTCTGCCGGTCTTAACAGGGAGCATGTGAAGCGATGGCAAGAGCGGGGCAGCACTGTGAGTTCTGGACAATGTCTAACGCAGCCCTCAGACACTGCTGACCAATGTGAGCTTGCAGACAACCCACGTCCACAGTTCCTGTCACACAGCCCCCTGCCGGCCAGGCCACAGCCTCTCCTCTCCCATGCTGCGCTGTTATTTTTGGATCAATGACTGAACTCCCCAGTGATCCCAGTGCATGCCGACTGCATGCTTTCCAGGTGCTAGGCTCCACGGCGGACACTCAGGATTACTCAAAAACCAGCACCGTCTCTCTCCTCACCCTATGCTCCAGTCATACTGGCTTCCTTTCTGTTTCTCACCATGCCAGTTCCTTCCTCACCATGACTTCCACTTTCTTTACTTCCTTGTTTGAGGACAGAAACACTGTCTTTCTTGATCCCAGCCAAATCCCCAGGACCTAGTGCAGTACCTAGCACATAATATGTACTCAATAAACATTTACTGAGTGAATGAATCCCTATCTATATAATAAAACGGTAATATGCAAATTGACCCTAACAGCAGAACGACTGGAACGACTGGTCACTATAACACACACTGACCACCAGGGGCAGACACTCAGCACAGGGCCTGCCCGATGTCAGTGCACTCTCACAGGGGAGCTTCCCTCAGCCACAAGCCGGGCTCAAAACTGCGAGCACAGGAGCCTCTCCCATCTCCTCGCAGTGCTAAGGACATCCGACTACGGCAGAGGGATGTCTGACTGCCAGCGTAGGCCCGATACCTCAGGGAGCAGGCCTAAACTGGCAGGTGATCATTCCCTGAAGGTTCCTGGACTGTGAGAGGGCGCAGACCTGGCTGAGGGACCTGCCCTCTCGAGTGCACAAATTTTCATGCACCAGGCCTCTAGAGAAAATACATCCTGCTAGCTTGAACTCATCCTTCCCATCATTGAGACGTTCTGTAGAATAGCAGTGTTGCCATCCAATAAGTCTGCTCATCTCTAAGGTTTATGCCATTTTCAAACATCTTCCAAATCAATTTTAAAAAATCTGTACAGGATAAGATGCTATACAGAGTAGACAATCAACAGGTTGTAAAGCCAATGACCTATTTTATATAAGCTCCAAACTGAAAAAAGGTCTTATGAAACTCATTATTAAAGGAACTAGCTATGAATATCTTGGGGGTAAAAAGGCTCAGTGAGAAGATGGAAAACATTTCAAATATTTAAAAGATAGACAAATATTTGGGACCAACTATTCTTAGAGAGAACACATATGGTCACAGTGATGTAGTCCAGGCTGACCTGTCTCCATCAGGGACCTCCAAAGAGGAAATGGTGAGTCTCCTATGGAGGCAAATGCTTCACAACTAAAGGTGTACAAACAGTGGCTGAACAAGCACCTCTCTGAAATTCAGTAGAGCCCAACCATCAGAGAGAAAGAAATGTTCAAGTCCTCTTTCACCCGAAACTGCACAACTAGCTATGTACTCAGAGTGAACAGCAACAATCAGTAGTCAAAAGTCTGACCTGACCCTGGCCAGGAGCGTTATCCCAAAACACCACGGTTGCAGGCTCCATCCCAAGTCAGGACACAGACAAGAATCAACCAATGAATACATAAATACACGAAACAATAAATTCATTCTCTCTCTCTCAAATCAATTTTTTAAAAATTTAAATAAAAGTCTGATCCTAACACCATCTCAAGGTGAACTATCGATACAAGTGTTAAGTCAAAGTTTCTCAAGGTGCCAGACCTGGAGGTTTAAAAACTACACAGGCTTGAGCCCCATCCACAGAGACTTGTCTGTCTGTCTGTCATCCTTACATGCAAATATTTACCACATCCCTACTATCTGCAAAACACTGTGTTAAGTGGTCAAAAAGAACTGCCAAAAGGACTGTCTATATGTAGACTGTGTCTACTGAGCACATGAAACTAAGAAACTGAACTTGCAATTTTATTTAATTACTAGAGGCCAGATGCATGAAATTCATGCAAAGGACTCCAACCCCACCACCACTGTGGCAGCCGCCTCTGTGGCTTCGTCCAGAAGGACATCTGGTCTAATTAGCATATTATGTTTTTATTATTATAATTAATTTAGATAGGTTCTCACACCTATGTTCTTAGTACCAAAAAGTTGAGAATCACTGTTCCAGTTACTAAGGAAAATTATTTAAAACCTAACACTAAAGTACCCATACGTGTGCAGAACCTAAGTAAATGCAAAACGACTCGGGAGTTTTCTGGGATACAATTTGTTTCTTTGTTGTCACTTTGCAATGCCACCATCCCTTCCACCGCACCACCCAAGAAATGCTCCCCAGCTCTCACCCGTTCCTCTTTGGTGTAGAGTTGGAAACACTGGGATAAAGTGCAAGTTTGAGGCTGATGATGACGCTCCCGTTGCAGACGAACACTCTCTGCATCAGGGATATACTCATCTTCAGTATTTACAAACAAGCTGCCATTGGGGGCAAAGCATTTATCAGCAACAGCTTGCAAAACTGACACAAAATACAATCACAGCTTCACAGCATAGATATAATTTCGTAAGCAAGAAGGTCAGTGTGTTAGAAAGCATTTTCCATGTTCCAAAGTATTTGTGAAACATTCTCTATAACATTATTTTCAAGAAGAAATAACTTGGAGTTGGTTTTTTGGGGGACTGGCCATGGACTGTGCTAATTAATCTATATAATCTTGTCCTTTGTAACTAAGGGCACACATCTTGCCTAACTTACTGGAGTTTATGGGCCTGTAATACAAATCAAAGTAATTGGCCCCACAATGAATAAACATACAAACACACACAAATGAATATATAGTTTCTATCTCATTAGCAGCAAACAAGAGAATGTATAGGAGAAAAATAATAAACTACTTAAAGAATTAGCAACACACCAGACACTAAACAGTTAAGAGAAATTTGGGTGTCAGCTAATTTGAAAGATCGAAGGCATGCTTTTAAAATAATTAAAACAATGACTCTATAAAAACTAAGTAAAAAGTACTCACAAATCTTTTGTCTCCTTGTCCCATTCTACTACTAACTTCACATGAGCAGTGCCACCTGGTCCACACGATTTTAACGCCCTGCAGATAGAGAAAGGAAGGGGAGTCACATATTATCTTTATTATAAAAACCCCGTGGCCGCAATGCTGTCACGACCAAACGCCAAAAGACACCCGCTGAACGTCTTATTTCTTCATGGGAACACATAAGTGTTGCTCTGTTCAATTCTCATCTTCCAACAAAGGTCAACTTAAGTGCTTCTGAGAAGGAAAGGTTAAAGCTATTATCTCCGTCCACAACAGTCTTCAAGGTGGGCGGGGCTGTGTGTGAACGTGGGTGGGTAAGGCTGCGTGCGTGCATGCGGGTGGGCGGGGCTGCATGTGCAGCGAGGCGCAAGCAGGTAGGCTACTTGACGAAGGTGGGCAGGGACTTGACCCGGGGGTCCCATGGCGAGCTGGGTCTTGCACAATTTCATGCAGTGGGCCTCTAGTTTTCTAAATAAATGCTTTTACTTAATACGGTAATCTTATCTGAAATCTGAAATCATGTGATTTCTGAATATCTTCATCATCATTCCCCATCAGAAAAAGTTTCTAGTGAGACCATTATAATAATCTCGTATATAAGAAGTAGGTTACAGCGGGACTAAAAATCCCTTACATTAAAATGTCCAGTATAGAAATAGGGATTGGAAGAAATTTAGAATCCTGTTATAAAGCTATCCATAGTCACTCTTAGTCCAATTTCTCACCAACCCAAATAGAGACAACAGTCTCTCTGGAGACCAAGTCTGCTCCTGCACCCCTTCCCCATAAACTGTGCCTGCCCTTGGACTCGGTCTGCGCCAACCGGAACTTCCATTAGGCCCTGCTCAAGTTCCACCTCCTTCCTTCAGAAAGCCCCACTGAGTGCCTTGCCACATTCCATCTCCTGAGAAACTCAGGATTAATTGTCAATATTACTGCCCTAGCCGGTGTGGCTCAGTGAGTAGAACATAGTAGGTCTGAAGGGACCCAGGTTCGGTTCCAGCCAAGGGAACATGTTTGGATTGTAGGCTTGATCCCCAGTAGGGGGAGTGCAGGAGGCAATCAATCAATGATTCTCTCTCATCACTGATGTTTCTATCTCCCTCTCCCTTCCTCTCTGAAATCAATAAAAATAATTTTTAAAAGGATGTACTTATAAAAAGGAATGTTCAGAGAACATAAAGGAAGCCTTTACACACACACACACACACACACACACACACACACATACAGTCAATATTACTCATCTAATTTTCTTATGCTTTGCAATGTTTTGAAGCTTTATCTAATCCATTAACTCTCATCTCTAAAAGCAAACAGTGACTTGCCCCATTTGGTGTGGCTCAGGTGGTTGAATCGTTGTCCCGTACACCAAAAGGACAGTTTCAATTCCTAGTCAGGGCATGTGCAGGAGGCAACCAATTGATGTTTCTCTCTCTCTCTCTCTCTCTCCCCCCCCCTTCCCTCCCTTCCTCTCTCGAAGATTAAAAAAATATATATATTAAAATAACAAAACCAGCCAAAACCGGTTTGGCTCAGCGGTAGAGCGTCGGTCTGCGGACTGAAGTCCCAGGTTCGATTCTGGCCAAGGCATGTAGTTGGTTGCGGCACATCCCCGGGAGGGGGTGTGTAGGGGGCAGCTGGTTGATGTTTCTCTCTCATCAACGTTTCTAGCTCTCTGTCTCTCTCCCTTCCTTTCTGTAAAAAAAATTAAAATAACAAAACCAAACAGTAACCTGCTTTCAAATAGAACCATGTTGTAGACTTTTTAGAAATACTGAACTGCAGGCACTACAACATTAGTTGAAAAAATCGTAAAAACAGTAACGTGAGTTTTTATATTTATGTGTCATATGTATCATTATTTTAATACAGCATGTTGTACTATAAGAAGTGTGTAGAACATACAGGGAAGGCACAGTGTAAGAAAAATTTGATCACAGGAAAAGGATGGACAGAGGAAAGATACTGTCAACACATGCGAAGGCACATGAAGCCGTGCTGTGTGTCCAAGCAGCTGCAGCACCCCGCCACTGCTGAAGGGTTAGGATGGTGGGAGAGCAGCCAGCAGGCCTGACAGAGGAAGCAGTCACAACTCAAATGACACACGCCCTGCACTGCGGAGCCTGGCTTTGTCTTTTACAACACAGGTCACCCTGCAAGGACAGCAAGGGGGAGAGCAGCACGATGAGAATTCTACTTTGGGAAACGTCAACCTTGGTCAATATTAAAGTGTCGTTTATCTGTAGTCCTGGGATCTACAGCAATTTGCTTTCCTTAACATGAGTACTCCAGGCTTTCCCAAAAAGGATCCTGAAACATATCATATCCTAATATGCATCAAAAGTAAAATAAGGACTTAATTTCTAAATGAGCCCAAAGAACACACTTGTGTGGATGGTATACCAGGCACTAGAATCACACGTGAGCGCTTGTGCAATTCTAGGAGGCGATGTGTTTACCTTTCTACCGTTGGGTGGCACAGCGGCTGCTCCTCCTGGGGCAGTAAGTACGTTATTCCCACCACACTGACCACACGCAAGCTGAACGGACACACCTGCAGCGAACGGGGAGGAGCGTTAGGCTGGATTTCTCCAAGGGCATCAGTTCACAGTGGGTCTTTCCAAACCAGGTTAGAGGGGAGTAAAATGCTCCTCCATAATGTTGTTAGGTTGCTGAGCTGCTCTAATACACTTTCAATATGATTTACCCAAATACAATTTACACATCAAACATGTTATGCAAGACAGGTAATGTGTGGCAGTCTTGGAACATTAACTTAATGTTAGTTTCCCACAGATACCTTAACACTGAAACCCTAACTTTGAAAACATACAGAGGGATGTTCTACAAAACCTGTCCGAGCTGATCACGTGCTAACCACGATCAGACAAACCTAAGAAAGGGAAGCGTGCAGTGGCAGCTGCTTCACAGATGAGGGCTCCTGAAGAGCTCTGAAGAAGCCTGGACTCTGAACCCCCTCAAAGGCTGTTTCCTCACTGGCACACCCGCGTGCTGGGCTGGAATCCCAGAGCACGTACACACCTGAATGCACACCGCGGGCCTCAGGAAGTACTTCATCTTCTCCAAGATTTCCTTCTGCAGCAGGTCCCAGGCGACTGTCTTCTCCAAGTGCAGCACAAAAGGCTGTCCAAACCTAACACACACAACCATTCAACTAAATTATAGCAATTCCTTTACGCTGTATTCCTCACTCACGATCTTTTTTTAAATACGTCTTTACTGACAGCAAAGAAAGGGAGAGGGAGAGGGAGGGAGAAACACTGATGAGTGCAGCCCCCGAGATCCTGCTGCAGCCACTCTGGTGGAGGGCTCACGCACTGCGACTTCAGAAGTTCCTCAGCTCCCCGGGCGGTTCTGAAATGCAGCCATGGTGAAGCACCAGGGGGCTGCCTCGCTCCCCAAGCTCCAGCCACTCACACCTACGCGCTTTGTGCCCTGAATGTGTCCAATTCACACATCCAGGTCTTTGTTCAGCCAAGTCCCTCAGCCTGGAAAGCCTTCCCAGCCTGCTGCTGGGCTAGCTCCCACTCACCCACGGCAAGACCCCGCAGAGGTGTCCTGCGGAAGCACCTGTCAGTTTGTTCCCTGTGCTCTCGGCACCACAGCACCAACGTACAGTGCCTGATCATTCTCCTGCCATCCACCATGCACTGCGAGCTATCTGGTGGAAGGAAATATGGTTTGCTATCTTAGTAGCCTATAACATGGTAGATGCAGAGTGAGGATTCAGATAAACCCTGGCCAAAGCAGAGGTGCTAAGATCACCAAGAAACCCTACTCCTAATAAAACGTTTATTCACAGTGACACAGCGAATCAACCTGTCTGCCTAAAGATGTCTGTGACGTGAAGTTTCAAGCACATGTAAACCATCTGGCCTCATTTTCAATGACAATGTCTTCACTTCTATAACATCCCTTCCCTCCTCTCCCTTACACATGCCAAGCTCTTCTAGGCTCAGCGTCTTTGTACTCCAAGTCCCCTCTCATGAGATCCTACTCCCCAGAGGGTCCCACAGCTCACCCTCTCCTCTCAGGCTCAGCTGCTGCAAGAGAGCTCTCCCTGACCTCCCTCCCTAGCAGTGCCCCCAACCCCAGCACACCCTATCATCCCAGCCAGTTTCAAAGTGGGAAGGACTGAAGTTAGATGTGTGTACTTGCTTGTAGTCACTCTGTCCTAATTAGGATGTAAGCTCCTGGGAAGGCAGACCTACCTGTCTGTCTGTCTGCTACCGTAGCCCTGTGTTTAGAACAGTGACCCACACCCTGGCAACACTCGAGTATTTGTTAAATGAGCATCAAAAATACACAAGGCAACACATGTTGCATTTACATTATTCAGCATCTTTAAAAAAAGGAATTTATTCCAAAGCAACATCTTAAAAGGCTGATATAAATGCTACCTTCCCAAGGGTAGAAACAAGTGCCTTCCTCCCTACGCAGATCCACATCGTGCTTATCGCGCAGGTGACGTCACTACCGGGAGAAGGCTTCTTTAAAAAGCAGAGGGAAGTTCTTACAGAGGGAACAGCCCTGCGAGATTTCCAACCCCCAGCCTCCTGGCTTATGCCGCTGCACCAAGAATGGCACGCACTACCCGCTTAGACCGGAAACGCTGGAGGGCCAGGGGTGCAGGGAGAGAGCTCAGTCTGGAACTAAGATTGGGATGTACATACCTTCCAAGTAATGTGTTAAGAATTTAAAGAAGAAAAAGAAAGCAGCTATATATAGGTGTATAGGTCTGGGGCCACAAGAGGGGCTTGTGCTGGAAATGGACATATGACAGGAGCCTTTAAAAACTACCATGAGCTTGAAGAGCCGTTCTCACTCAGATTCTATTATCCTAATTTTATATTCTCCCTCTCAGCCCCTCAGATCAGGTCGCCTTATACACACTCTTTCTGAACATCAGAATCAAAAATTAACTACGAAAAGTAAGGATGCTTTGATGCCGGAAAAGAAGCGTCTGCACCTCTTTCCCTGCTGCCCGGTGCAGGCGCGGTTGCACACCAGCAGGACGATCTTGTCGCTCTCTGCTCTCGTCACGGGCAGCTCCACCTTCCCCTGCTTTGCCGCTGCGTGTGCAGAAGACAGTCTATGATGGGCCAAGCCAATTGTTAAGTGGTTCAGATTGTTGTTTAAGTGAATTCCTGAAACAAAATAGAAAAAACTTACTTCATCTCTTTAAAATTCTTTTCATTCATCACAAAGTACCCAATAGAGGAATTAAGAAGTTGTCATTATATAATTTAAACTGCAGTTGAAAGAAGGAACAAATTCTACTCTGAGATGACTCCTCTCACCACTCAGATAATTTCTTCAGCGTCATTATTTAAGCTGGCCTTACCGTCAGAAACTGGAAATTAAACCTCTTATCTTCAGTGACCATCAGGTCCCATGAGAGAAAGACAAGTCTGCAGAGATGATTCACCACCACAACGTGAAGTGTGGCTGTGCTTGCAACCAGCAACCAGATGAACTTTTTAAGAAGTAAAAGGAAAGGCTAATACAAGTGGGAAAATCTTCAATATTCCAATGCTGCTTTTTCTCCCTGCTTTAAGGGCTAAACTTATAAGAAACTACATTTGCCCTGACCAGGTGGCTCAGCTGGATGCAGTGTCGTCCCATGCACCAGAAAGGCTGAGGGTCTGGTTCCCAGTCAGGGCACATCCCTGGACTGGGGTTCGATCTCCAGTCAGGACGTCTATGGGAGGCAATAACTGATGTTTCTCTTTCATTTTGAGGTTTCTTTTTCTCTTTCCCATCCTCTCTAAAGTCAATAAAATAAAATTTAAAAACAAAAAAAACATATCCTAGGGTGGAGATTAAAAAAAACAAACTAATTTAACTAGATTCACAGCAACTACAGAACTTCAATACAATCACCTAAACTGTACCCACAACATTAACGTGAATGCAGGTATGTGTTTGGCAGGCCCTATACAGACTGCTGAAAGCAGAGCTGTCAATCAGAGGCACTAAGCAATTCAGCACCAAGCAACAGCCCTGAACTCAGTAGGAACTCAATAAATGCTTGACTAATTGTTAATTTCCTTAATCCTTTGAAAGCCTGAGAAAATGATATTTCAACTGTATAATGAAGCCTACCACTATCTCAAGTATAGTAACATCTCCAAGGGGAAAATAAAATAAAAAGTATTTACACAAAAGTATTCATGGCAGAAATCTGGCAATAACCTAAATATCCAATAATATGTGACTTGCTGAGCCTACGAAGATACATCAACATTATAGCAATTTAAAATCATGAATACATAGTCCTGGCCAGATGGCTCATATACACCAAAAGGTTGCAGGTTCGATTCCTGGGAACACATACCTAGGTTGTGAGTTCAATCCCTGGTTGGGGTGTATACAGGAGGCAACTAATTGATGTTTCTCTCTCACATCGATTGTTTCTATCTTTCTTTTCTCTAAAAATCAATAAAAACATATTCTCAGGTGAGGATTAAAATGATGAATACATAGTTAAACCGACATAAATTCCAGATAAATTAACCTTTTATTTTTATTTCATTTTTTTAAAATAGATTTTATTGATTTTGTACAGAGAAGAAGGGAGAGAGATAGAGAGTTAGAAACATCAATGAGAGAGAGTCATCGATCAGCCACCTCCTGCACACCCTCTACTGGAGATACGACCGCAACCAAGGTACATGCCCTTGATCAGAATCGAAGGACCCTTCAGTCCCCAAGCTGACGCTCTATCAATTGAGCCAAACCGGTTTCGGCAGATAAATTAACCTTTTAAAATAAAGAACACAAGAACTAGACTCGCCTATGACTCAGTGGTTGAGCATCAACCCATGAGGTCACAGGTCAATTCCCAGACAGGGAACAGGCCTAGGTTTCTGGCTCAATCCCCAGTAGGCAGGGATCCAACGTGCAGGAGGCAGCCAATCAATGATTCTCTCTCATCACTGATGTTTCCATCTCTCTCCCCTTTCCCTTCCTCTCTGAAATCAATAAAAACATAAAGAACAATAACTCAGGAATTAGAAATACAGAAACATTGAGTTTTCATTGAGCTATTAGAGGGAAAAATACTTTTTAATGCTGAACACCATGAAGAAATCACAAAAGAACAGCAGATTTCAGTTCCTAGCCATTTTAAACTTTAGTGTAAGGAAGTAAAAGTAATAGAAGTCTGAATCTGAGACAATGAATGGCCTCATTTCCCAGGCTTTTGGCAGAAGAGAGGCTGGGAAGACCTGTTCTTCTATTAATAAAAGTGATCAGGATTCCTAGTGCGATGAGGGGATACCCATCAACTGCAGAGGTGAGCTCTGCATTCAAAGTGCAGGCCCCGTGATCACCAGCTGTGTGATCCCTTCATCTAAGCCTCCTCCCTCACTTGTCAATTGGGAAAAGTAGCAGCCTCATACACATGGAACCCAACAGTATAAGGCCTTTACAAAAAAGACCAACACATACTCACAAAGTGGTATGTTCTTCCAACAAAGGCACTCTCTGGCTAGAATATGATAACCTTGAACCTCCTTATATTCATTTAAAAAGAGAAATTTAGTGTAAACCCTAATAATTGGGGAATGAAGGTGGATTTGGGGTAATATTCAGCAGAACAAACACTAACTAGACTGTATATTAAGAACTATACTCAGCTGCTGGGTACAGAAAGATGAAGCAAAATGTAGTCCCAACTGTAGAGAATTCACAGTATGGTAGGACAGACACAGGAGAAAACAGGTCATGGCCACACAACATTCTAGTCCAGAAGCTACGGGCTAGAGCAAGGGAGGGAGGAGTCGGTCAGCGGCCAAGAGTGGAGGAAATGAGGAAAGACTCTGGACAAGGTGATTTGGGTCTTTTTATTGTGATACAATTTAAATACACAGAAGCACATGCATGAGAACACAACAACTGGAAAACAGACAACAGAGCTCCTGGGTCAAAGAACAATGAATACTGAGATAAAAAACTGCCTAGAAAATGATGTCAATAGGAGTAGACCAGAGAAAACTGACTCCTAAGCTGAGAGTGGAGAAAGCAGGCCAATCCAGTATATATAATTACCAAAAGATTCAGGAGCTAGAGGCACCAGAAACCTCTAGAATTAGGGGGTAAAAGAAAAGAGGTAGCAAAATAAGGACTTTTGACAAGGGCACCAAGACTATCCAAGGATAGTCTCTCCAACAAACAGTGCTAAGATAATGAATATTTACATGCAAAAGAATGGAACTGGACTCCTACCTCCCACCATACACAAAAATTAACTCAAAATCGATCAAAGACATAAATGTAAGAGCTAAAACTATAAAAGTTCTACAAGAAAACACAGGGGTAAATCTTCATGGACTTGGATTTGGCAATGGATTCTTACATATGACACCAAAAAGCACAAGCAACAGCAATGACAAGATAAATCAAACTTCATAAAAATTAAGAACTTTTATGCATCAAAAGGCACTATCCATTCAGAACACCTGAAATCTATTATAATAGAACAGAAGGCCTACTACTAAGAATATAAAAATAATCCACATCAAGACTCATAGGAGGGCTGGCGATACATAGCAGGCTGAGCCCATGTAGTGGTTAAAAACTGGGAGAGTTATCTTGGCTGTGGATCCACAAGGAGCGAGGGATTCCAGTGCCAGGAAGAGAAGTCCCCATCATTTCTGGCAGTAAAACCGGACTGTGGCTGAGTGAGAAGGAGGGCTGCTTAATCAGACTCATTCTGGCTTCAGAGCTGGGCCAACAGTTCGAAAAGCACCAGCAACATATGGGAAGGGACTGAAGTGTAAGACATCACAACAAGAGCTGGAGAGACAGCTTTCTCCCAGAAAGAAGTGCTGGCAGAGTCCATTGTTCCTTTTCTGAGCCCTCTCACACTGAGCACCTCCTGTGGGCTCCTCCAAGTCCAGCACAAGGAGCAACCACCTGCAGATCACTCTGTAGGTCATGCAGGCTGGCCCTTGGCAGGTAGCAGGTGGTGGCTGACTTTGCAACTCCCAGGAGGCCTCAGAGACACGCAGTAGCCAGCTTCAGACCACACCAGATTACAACCCAATCACCAACACAAGCAACCCACACAAGCAGCAGACTCAGTTGGCACCAGAGCCCCAGTGAAGCAAGTTCTGCTCCCTGGGGTCAGCCCCTGCACAGCAGCTCCTCTGCTGTAGTTAGAGCCATTCCTCACAGCTGACTGACTTTCCAATGATGTGTGAACAGCAATCAAAGCTCAACTACTACAGTTGGATGCACACTTGGAGCATCCAGCTCAGGTGACTGGAGAGGCTGTGTCAGTCGGCCCTACAGGACACCTCCTACATGAGGCCACTCTACCAATTCCAGGGGATGTAGCAGCTCTACCTAATCTGCAGAAACAAACACGAGGAAGCAGCCAAAATGAGGAGATAAAGAAACATGACACAAATGAAAAAAAAGAGAAACAGGAGAAATCTCCAGGAATAAAGCTAAATGAAATGCTGGCAAGCAAATTATCAGATACAGAGTTCAAAGGATGCTCAATGAACTTAGTGAGAACTTCAAATGCATAAATGAGGACATGGAAATCGTAAAAAAGAACCTGTTAGAAATGAAGAATACACTAAACTGAAATGAAGAACAAGTTTCATGGAATTAACAGTACAGTAGACGAAGCAGATAATCAAATTAGAGTTTTGGAATATAAGGAACCAGAAAAAAACTCAATCACAAGTGAAATGAATCTAAAAAAAATGAGGAAGGTGTAAGAAGCCTCTGGGACAACTTCAAGTGTCCCAACATTCACATCATGTAGTTGTTGTAATAAGAAGAGACAGAGCAAGAAATTGAAAACTTATTTGAAAAAAATGACAAAAAACTCCCCTAATATGGTGAAGGAAATAGACATAATAAGTCCAGGAAGTGCAGCGTCCCAAACAAAATGAACCTAAAGAGGCCCATACAGGACACATCATAATTAAAATGTAAAAAGTTAAAGACAAAAAGAGAATCTTAAAAGCAGCAAGTGAAAAGCAGTTAATTACCTACAGGGGAGCGCCCATAAGACTGTCAGCTGATTTATCAACAGAAACTTTGCAGGCAAGAAGGGAGTGACAAGAAATATTTAAAGTGATGAAAAGCAAGATTACCTTAGCCAGCAAAGCTATCATTCAGAATCAAAGGACAAGTAAAGAGCTTCCCAGACAAAGAAAAGCTGAGTTCATCACCCCTAAAACAATATTAAATGAAATGTTAAAGGATCTTCCTGTAGAAAAAGGAGAATAAAAAAAAGATCAAATTTATTAATAAAATGGCAATAAGTACATGTCTATCAATAATTACTTTAAATGCAAATGGATTAAATACTCCAATTAAAAGACATACATTGACTGAATGGTTAACAAAACAAGACTCTTACATATGCTGTCTAAAACACTCACTTCAGATCGAAAGATACACACAAACTGAAAGTAAAGGGATAGAAAAAGATACTTCATAAAAATGGTAATAACAAACAAAAAAGCTTATGCCAGACAAAATAGACTTTAAAACAAAGGCTATAACAAGAGACAAAGAAGGATCCGGCAAATCCACGTCTGAGTATTTATCCGAAGAAACCCAAAGGACTAAATTGAAAAGACATGTGCATCCCTATGTTCACAGCAGCACAATTTATAATAGCCGAGACATGGAAGCAACCTAAGTCTATCAGTAAATGAACAGATAAAGAAGAGGTGGTACATACAGAATGTAATTCAGCCATAAAAAAGAATGAAATCTTGTCATTTGCAACAATATGAATGTACCTAGAGGTTACTGTGCTAAGTGAAATAAGTTAGACAGAGAAAGACAAATGCCAGATAATTTCACTTAAATGTGGAATTTAAAAAACAAAATAAACAAGCAGAACAGGAAAAGGTTCATAAATACAGAGAACATCGTTGTCACATGAGAGAGGGGTTGAGGTGATGGGTGAAAAAGAGGAAGAGATTTAAAAATACAAACTGGTAGTTACAGAACAGTCATGGGGATATAAAGTGCAGTATAGGGAATGTAGTCAATAATATTGTAATATGTATATATGTTGTCAGATGGGTATAGATTCATCGAGGTGATCACTTCATAAGTTATATAATGTCTAATCACAATGTCATACACCTGAAACTAATATATTAAACATCAACTGTAACTTAAAAATAAAATTTTTCATAAAAAAGAAAAGACACTATCAAAAAATAAAGTAAAAAGATAACCTACAGAATGGGGGAAATTTTTGCAATCAGATATCTGATAAGGGTCTAGTACCCAGCATACATAAACTCATACAACTAAACAACCCAATTTAAAAATAGAGAAGGGACTTGAACAGACATTTCTCTGAAGAGGATATATAACTGGCCAACAACCACATGAAAAGGTGATCAGCATCATATATCATTAGGAAAATGCAAATAAAAACCCCAATGAGAGGGCAGGCCGGAGTGAGGCTGCAGGAGCTGGAGGGTCACATTCTGGCTGCTGGCACTATGCAAGGAAGACCACATCCGGGGCAGCATTGCAGCCAGACCCCACACCGGGCCATCCCTGCCATTACCAGGTGGTCCTCAGGGACAGCATGCAGCTCCCGTGTGTCTCTCCCCTCCCCCCCCCCTCTACAGTACAGTACCACCACCCAAGGAGGTACCAGGATCATCTATGACCGGAAGTTCCTGACAATGTGTCAGAATTCACCTGTGACCAAAACAATCCCATGGGACCTGCCCACTATTCGGGGGGGTCACTAGTTCTGTAAGTGACGAGTCCCCCACAGAAGCCAGCCAGAACCACCTGTAAAGCCCGCAGGTGGTGAAGAGTCACAGTTTGAGATAGACATTTAAAGGACCAGCCATCAGATCAAGCAATGACTCGGGCCTCTCTGGCCCTTCTCCAAAGAGTCACACTGCCAATTATCACCCTGGGCAGGCAATGGGTGTGGGGTCAGCCACCCTAATCCTCTGCTCCCTCAGTCAGGGCACCTGCTGCCCCTTACTCTTGGTGAACACCAGCAGACACCTCTTTATGCCTCCATTCATGCAGGAGCTGGCACCTCAAGGGGAGCAACTCTCAAGAGACACATCCTGCAGTCTGAGCCATGAAGTGGACTTGGAGGACCCCTTCTGAATGACCATTCTGCTCCCTTCCGCTGAGGGCACACCACCCCTTTGCTAGGTTTGTGTGCTTGGGGAAGTTGCCCTCCCCTACTTCCTCAACAGAGGAAATAAAAGCCACCTTTGCCTTTGGGCAAAAACAAAAAAACACAATGAGAGCCGAAACCAGTTTGGCTCAGTGGATAGTGTGTCGGCCTGTGGACTGAAAGGTCCCAGGTTCGATTCTGGACAAGGGCATGTACCTTGGTTGCGGGCACACCCCCAGTAGGGGGTGTGCAAGAGGCAGCTGATTGATGATTCTCTCTCATCAATGTTTCTAACTCTCTATCCCTCTCTCTTCCTCTCTGTAAAAAATCAATAAAATCAAACAAAGAAACAAAAACCCACAAAATGAGATATCACTTCACACTCACTAGGATGGCCACAATAAAAAAACAGAAAATAAAAAATGTTGGCAAGAATGGCAAGAAATTGTAACCCTCATCTATTTGTTGTGAGAAATAAAGACAATGTAGCTGCCATGGAAAACAGTTTTATAGTTCCTCAGAAAGTTAAAGAGAATTACTCTTTAACTTTGCCCTAGCATTTCCACATCTAGTTATATAACCCAAAAGAAATGAAAAGAGGTTATTAAAAAAAATATTTATAAATGAATGGTCACAGCAGGTCTACTTAATAATGGCCAAAAGATAGAAACAACCCAAATGTCTACTGACAGATAAATAGGCAAACAAAATGTGGTCCGTACATGTAACGGAATAATATTCAGCCATAAAAAGGAGTGAAGGACTGATACACACTGCAGCATGGATGAGCCATGAAACAATGCTGAAGGAAAGAAGTCTGTCACAAAAGGTGACATGCTCTATGATTCAATTCATGTCTAGATCGGGAATGTATAGAGACAGAAAGTGATTGCTTAGGCCGGGCGGGGGGGAGGGAGGGGGAAGGAGGCGAGAGAAAGGGTTCTTGGGGAGACAAGGGGAGATGGGGAAAGTTTAAAGCATGCGACATGTTTGTATCAGATTTCTTTTTTTTTTTTTTTTAATATTTTTTATTGATTTTTCACAGAGAGGAAGAGAGAGGGATAGAGAGCTAGAAACATAGATGAGAGAGAATCATCGACCAGCTGCCTCCTGCACACCCCCTACTGGGGATGTGCCCGCAACCAAGGTACATGCCTTTGACCGGAATCGAACCCGGGACCCTTCAGTCCGCAGACCGACGCTCTACCACTGAGCCAAACCGGTGCCGGCTGTGTCAGATTTCTTAAAAGCAAGTATCAAGAGAAGGTTTCTACATTAAAGGTTTTAGAATTTAGAAATTGAGCATCAAGAGTTGGTAAGCACAATACAAAAAGAAATTTACAGCAATACATAAATAATTTGAGTAATAAGGTGGCAAAGTGTCCACAGAAGGGAGAAAATAGTCTCAGAAATGTTAGGACTTAGGGTAATATCCTTGCCTAAAGCAGTAAGAACTGTCCTCTTCTAGGAAAATATGTTACCATAAAATTTATACCATTACTAGAGGCCCGATGCATGAATTTCACACTGGTAGGGTGCCTAGGCCTGGCCGAGGATCAGGGCCAATTGGAGCCTTCCAGCTGCCAGCCAGGGCCTTCCTTCTCCGGCTGCCAGCTGCTGGGTGGAGCCTTCCTTGGTTCCGCACCACCCCTTGGTGGTCAGCGCACATCATAGTGAGCGACTGAACTCCTGGTCTCCTGGTTGAACTCCCGAGGAGATAATTTGCATATTAGCCTTTTATATATAGATAGATATAAAAATGTGTTATGTGTATTTTACCACAATTTAAAAAATTATGCTATCATGTAACAGACATCTGAAAAGGCAGACAGTGGTTGACCCATACACCTATTATGTGGCATTATGGAAATATATGCTCATTTACCTCTCTGACTGAGAATTCCTTCAGGCCTGAATATTTCTGGAGTCTCAAAGGCAAAAATGGAGTCACTTTCGTGGACTGTTTCCAGGTCATCTGTGTCACAAAAGGAACGGTGGAACCCGTCATAGTACATTTCTGTTAACACAATCTAAAAATGGGGAAAATGTAAATAACTGAATAAGCAGGAAGTCAATATGAATGGATCTCCTAATTCTCCATGAATTTCCCCAGACCATCAGGACCTAACTTGTGAGGCCTCTGACACATCACAGGGCCCACATTATTTTCCTTTAATAAGAGAATCTTGGAAGCACAGCATCCCGTCACTGAAGAGCAATGTATTTTGTTCTCAGAATGTGGTGGCACTAAATCCAGAGTTCCTCTGAGTTCTGGTAGAGAAGAGACCAGGAGAAGATAGTCACCCCAGTTTCACAGGGGAAGAAACTAGAAAAGGCAGTGACCTGCCTGAGGTTATACAAATATTCAATCTCTGGCAATGACAGAGTCTACATCTGGCTCCAAGATTGACTCCTACATCATTAAATTTTCTTATTTCCAGGTTAAAAAATGTCAAATAACCATCAATATTTGTATTAGGAAAAAATGTAAACCCACTCAAATGTCCAACAATAGGAATTACTTAAATATATTAGAGCCCTACTGGAATTATAAAGTTATTGTAAAGAATGAGCTATAAATAACTGCATTAACATGAAAAAAAAATCTCCTAAGTAAATAAGAAGCAAGGTAACGAACAATGAGTTCATTTTTATAAAATAATAAATGTATACTCACAAGAAAAAAACAGAAATGAATTCACAGTATAAAATTAAAGTTAGTAACCCCTAGTTCTTAGATACTTTATATGAGATACTTTCTAAGTTTTGTTTCTGAAATGGTTGAGTTTGCACAGTAACTCAGAAAAACAAAAGATGGGTAAAACAATGGAGACATTCAGGGACTTGGTTACACGCTCAGCAGCACTGTCCAGTGGAAAAGCACTGGATTGGTTGGGCATGAGGAGGTTCCAGTCCCGGCCTGCCACAACCGCCCTGTGACCTTGAACAAGTCACATGGTTTTTCTGAGCCTCCTTCCAATGAAGGGTTTGGACTGGACCCCTTTGGTTTCCTTTACTAACACAAACATAATGAGTCTGTGAGGTGACAGAGGATGGTGGCAGAGTCCACAAACAGCCCAAGGAAAATACTCCTGGCATATGTTCTGTCAATGACTTTAATGACCACATTGTTTTTCTGCAGGCGAACATGTACACATAAGTCACTTTCTCCAGCAAGAACAATGAGGTCAAAAAAACTTATAATTGTATCACTCATCCAAAGTGCTTGCAAAAAGAACCAGACATTACTGAGAGCTTTAAAGAGACAAGCCTTGGACACACACTCACGTCTCCCTCCCTCTCTGCCTTTCCCCTTATCTTGAAGGAAAAATGTGAATCAATGTGCTCGTAAGTATAAGGAAAATGTAAACACTTTATAAATGTACCAGTGCTGGGTCTATGAAAATGTGTGATATTTGCTTCTTAGGGCAACACTACTATTTGTTTTACTGTAGTAACTTCCGAAATGAGCAGTCCAAGTACATAAGAGCTTTCCTATGTAAGTATGGAAGCTTCCAGAAGTGATCTACTCAGTCACTGAATCATCTTTCCTTAGTAAATCCTAATAGGGAATTTTTTTCCAAATAAACTCATAATAGTGAACTGAATAAAGAATGTATACAAAATTTGTCATGCCACAAACAGGCCAATTAAAATACCAAAAATTTGCCCAAAATGATAGGGATACACAAATTTCTTTTTCTTATCTATAATAAATAAAGTAAGAGATGGGTCCAGCTCTAACCAGAGAACAAACAGAGCCGAGCATCTATATGCAGGAACTAGCCAGATACCCGATCTAATCACATGATGGCAAAGGGTTGTCAAGAGCCACTGCTCAGGCTCTCTAAGCCTCTTTGGCTTTCAGATACCACAGGAATGTTCTTCCCATATAAGCCTCCATCCAGATGATTAAGAGGGCTAAGTAATTAAATAAAGTCACAGCTTTTCCTTTTAAAATTGTACTAGTATACACAATTTAAGAAACATGGAAAGGTTTTGAGTACAGTTTTCTTCTCTGGGTCTTAATTTTCCTTTTCCTCACCCCAGAAGCAACTGGTTTGACATTTCTATCTAACCATACTTGGCAGAGAACTGTTAAAAATCCCGAGAGGACAGAAAGCATCTTTCCGGGCTCCTTGTGCAGTCAGTGTTCGCAGCGTATACCTGGTCAGTGGGGATCTTTGTTTCCAGAGACACTGCTTCCCGAAGTCTGGCGACAGTCCCAGACAGAGGCACGGCCACGCCAATCCGCATGCAGTGTGAACACTTTCCTTGATATACTACGGTGACATAGAGAGGCCTGTACAGATCAAAGTCACATCTTCTTATTAGTTGCTTATTTCAACTAAAATATAGAAGCAAAACACACCTGATTGGAAATCAACATAAAACTGAAGTTAACCCACACCTTTATTTAGACCTAAGTAAAACTCTCAAACAATAATTAAGAGACCTCTGGAAAAGGTAAGTTTCAAAAAACAAAAGTATAACATATCAATACTTGGAAGTCTTGAGAAACAGTTCAAATAAAGCAATTAACTAAAAGTGCAAGGTGAGGTTCTAGGGAATCTAAAAGGCACTCAACAGCCTTTCTCTTTCCCCATGCTGTGGATGATGACCAAGTGAACACACACACCTGTCGCATGCACCCTGCAATCTCAAACAGGCGTGCATAAATTCCTGCAAGGTTTTAACAACGCTTGTAAGTAACATATCATTAATCCCATTACTTGTCTAAATAAGTAAGCCTACAAGAGCCTACAGAGGAAAAGGAACACAGAGAAATGTGCCACCTTAATTTTATTAAATCTGTTCTTACCTTGTGTAGGGTAGAGGGATTGGCAAAGAAATGCAGAGGAAAGGGTCAAAAGTGTTGCTCTGCTTCTGACAATGAGGACATGTCAGGGAGGATCTTCAAAAAACAAAAGGTAAGATACCCACATTACGATCACCTACAACCACATAACCAGGCAACAGAAAGGAAATTTAATTTGCTCATACCTGTATTGGGCTTGAAAAAGTTCTTGTACAAAAGTGCTACAGACAGGAAAAGATGGTCCCTCAGGCATCATATCAGACTCTGATGGTGGCTTAAAAGAAGAAAGTACAATTTCACAGACTGAAAGTACCAATTATTGACTGAAGATGACCCTGAGAGCGGCACAAATGTCCCTGACTTCTTATTCAGCTATGCATCAGGTCCAGATGTTCCAGGGAAAGGTATCTGCTACAGGAACCAGAACACAGCTGCCAGCACGTGGGTCACAGAACTCATCTCTTCACAGCCCTCCCACATCTCCGTCTCTCCAGCCCCTCCAGGCGGTTCCTCCAACCTCCCTCCAACTCTCGATGTCCTGCTCTAACCTCTTCCAGGAAATTAATCCCGACCACGGAGTTCCTAGCATGTGTTAGCTGCTGATTTGGGTACTTAGTCACTCTACTTCATATTTCACTAATCTTTCCATGTCTCTCCACTAACAGTCACTAAGGACCTGCGAATACATGCAGAGAGCATGGAAAAGGGCTTTAGGGTACAAAAATAAGACACAGAGCCTGACTGACTTTCTCTGAGTCTGGTAGGGGAGAGAGTCAGCTACAAGCATAGAGTTCTATGACAGAACAGTGTTCAGGCACAAAAGGACCTTAAATTGGAATAATTTAACAACTTACCGAAACAAGAAATTTAAATTTTGAGGTACTGAGCAGAATTACCAAAAACTTTAAAAGCTGCAAGAGAAAGGCAACTTTTTTTTTTTTCCTTTTAAATATTTTGTATTGATTTTTTTTTACAGAGATGAAGGGAGAGGAATAGACAGCTAGAAACATTGATGAGAGAGAATCATCAATCAGCTGCCTCTTACACAGCCCCTACTGGGAATGTGCCCGCAACCAAGGTACATGCCCCTTGACTGGAATTGAACTTGGGACCTTACAGTCCGCAGGCCGACGCTCTATCCACTGAGCCAAACCGGTTTCGGCAAGAAAGGCAACTCTTTATCTTAATTATTTCCATTATAAAAATCATTTTACCCATCATAGTAAAGCTACATGCATAAAAATTGAGGATAAATCACTCTCAGTAAGAATATTCTGGGGTTCAGTTCCTACACTTGTTCCTGTTTAACTATGTCCATTCCAGTGATCTAGGCTATGAGTCTCACTGGACTAGAAAGCAAGTGTTTGCTTTAATAACAGTTTAGTGAGGTGGAACCACTTAATTTTAGTCTAAAGTTACTCATATAGGCAAATGTGTGCCCTCTCATTAGACTGTAAGCTCCTGGACGGTGCCTTTGGCACCTCAGGCTCCCAACACAGTAGCCAGTGTGAGAAACCCTCTAAGTGCCCATGAAACTTACCCTCCCCTGGAGCTCACTCAATGTCACTACAGTAACTAAGTGCCGACTGCAACAGCTCCTGCGAGGTTTGGGAGAATGGGCCCGGGCCCCCGGTCCCCGGCTGCTGGGCGGGGCACCCTCACCTTCACCGGAGGCTGGCCGCTCTGCTTCACGGCATGATTGAGGTCTTCGTGAACTCGGTCCAAAAGCCACAGCAGAAACTCCTGGGCATCGTGCTGGGAATTCCCCCGGTACTGCAGGGCATTCTTTGACACAATACTCTAGATAGACACATAAATCAGCACGAAGAGTGTGAGTCCCAGCTCTGTGATAAACTGCTCCATTTCCCAAAGAGGGATGGATGCAAGCTCTCAGGGTGTTAGAGGACTCCCCCGAAAGAGCAATGTAAAAGCAGGAGCTAAAAACAACTAAAAAGCAACAGAAAAACAGGTGCTCGCTGTAAAATTCACCCCCATGAACAGGCACCAAACACCTAAATGTGCCTATCCCACTTTTAGGAATAAGCTAAAGGAAACCATCAAAATAGTCATGACATCTACGAGGATATTCATTCATCAGACCTTCTAATAACAAAAACAGGTGATAACTTGAACATCTTAAAGATGAGAATTTTTACAAGTACCACATTGTTACTTTGTAGACACAAAGCCACCAAAATGTTCTATGTCAATTAGCAAAAAAAAAAAGAATTGGTAGTATAAAATAAACAAGTATACATCATATAAATATTGAGTAAATAAATGGGAGGAAGAGACAAATCTTCCTTATAGAAGACTTCCAAATAATGTATGTCACTAACGCCCCTCCAGGAGTTGGACTTTGAGACTGGGCTATGACAGTGTCCTGCTTTCAAAGACTCGGATATGGGAGAGGGTAGCCAGGGAAAGACTAAGCTGAACTGAAGTAAGATCATGGGCCTTGGTCCAAATCTCTGTCCTGCCTCTTACTATGTGTGAGGTCTGGGCTAACTCCCCTCCACGGTGGAAAGGACAATGATTTAGTGTGATGGTTAAGTGAGAACGCATGCAAAACATTTCACATGTAAATGAGTAATTAAGCACTCAAATTATGACTATGAATATTGGACTTGTAAAGTAGGGAGACAACTACACAAAGCGAAAGCAGTTCAGACAAATGAAATGATGAGGCATGAGATAATGGGGGTCTGAGCTAATGCATGAGGGCAGAAATGTGAGGCCAAATCTGAGATTTCAAAATTAAAGTAGTAGAATCAATAGAACTGGGTGAGTTAATGGATATGGGAAGTGAGGAAGAAGGCATTAGTGCCACCCAGGTGTCTATCTGGGTGATGCTCAACTGGCGGTACCTGCATCAAGACAAAATAAAAAAGGAAGAAGTCTGGGAAAGAGAGTGATGAGTTAGTTCCCTTTCAAATCCACTGCATTTGCAGCTCTGCAGAACCTCCACGTAGAAGTATCTGGTAAACAAGTGAAAAATACAGATCTGGGCTCCATGGAAGTCTGTGCTAAGGACGAGATTTGGAAATCACCAGATGAGTGGTAGTTAAAACCATTGAGTATGTCTGATCTCCCAGACATAATCATGAGATGGAACCCAGAGGACAGCTATATTTAGGGAAGACCAAAAAAGTCATCAAAGATGTGAAAAAAAAATCAGGAGAATGGAGACCCCAAGAGTCAAGAGAAGAGAGCCGGGCAGAAAGTGATCAATAGTTCAAAGTTGAAGAATGAAGTAAACCAAAGAAATAAAAGCTGTCCATTGTAGTTTTCCAATAAAGATCACGGTAATAGAAATTAAAAGGGGATAGATTTTTAATTTGATTATGAAAAGAAGCACCACAACTTGATGGTCAATTAGATGTCAATGAAACATAAAGATAATTTACGAAGATTCAAATTTAGGAAGGAAGGAAAAACTCAGGACAAAAATGAGATCATATTGAGGTGTCATGGGCAAAACTTGTTACTGATGAAGTGAGCAAGGAAAAGGAAGGGCCTTGAAGACAAACAAGGATGCCGTCTGGATGCCATCTCAGATGCAGTACACAGAGGAGAGAGACTATCCTCACCCCAGTTTCCTCGGGGGGGGGGGGGGGGTATTCACCACAGGACAAAACCTCTACCCGAGGTCAGGTGCCACCAAGTCCAACCTCTTTCTCAGCCCTCACCTTATTCAGTCTCCCTGTAGCAGTTTCTGAACTTGGTATCTTTCTTAATTTTGAAATGACTTGGTCTGTGGCCTTATGTTCTCATTTAGGAGAATCAAAACCAGAGCCATCGGTATAGACATTCAAGAAGGTGAGCTACAAAAGAAAGAGAATTCCTAGTAAAGGAATGGATCAAGAAAAAACACCAGCACTAGCCACACTGACTCAGGATGGAAGAGAAACAAGTGACTGGTGGTGCTACCTTGCAGGAGACACCACGTTTTCAGTGTCTGACTTAGGCGGACAATGACGCCAGAACAGCAGAAGACTGCAGCACTTTGGACACGTTATGTTTGAGGTACCTACAGGATCCCAAGTGAGGTTAAGTGTGGTGCTCAGGAAGACACCTGAGCTGGAAGTTAAATCAGAGAATCATATCCCTATCCCGTGAGCAGAGGCATAACCCATCCAGGACAGAACCTTGAAGAATGCTAGCACAGAAGGTACAAGTCACAGAAAAGAAGCCAAAAAGATAGGAGTGGCAGCACTCAGGCAGAGGGAGGGGACACCTCCAGGGGATGAAAGCAACAATGTCAACTACTGCAGGAAGTCAAGACAGGCAGGGAGACAGGTCCTTTGGAATGGCAAATGAAGAGGTTGACGGCCTGTGCAATTTCAGTGGAGCAGACAGGGAGCTGAGTTTTGAAAGGAAGGAGAAAAGATGCTGTGACCCCCTAGAGGGGGACTGAGGGACACAGCAGAGGCACTTATAGGTGAGGGTAGAAGCTAATTGAAAAGAGACACCTGAAGAAAGGCGATGTTTTTCATTTTTATTTTTTTATTGGTTTTAAAGAGAGGAAAGAGAGAGAGAGAAAAGGAGAGAAACTTCATTGTGAGAAACATCTACCAGTTGCCTACTTCCTGCACATGCTCTGACCACGGATCCAAATCTGCAATCCAGGTTTGTGCCCTGACCAGGAATCGAGCATGCCACCCTTTGGTGTATGGGACAACTCACCAACCAAGTGAGTCACCTGGCCAAGATAAGAAAGGTGATTCTTCAGTAAGCGGAGAAGGAGGGATTCAGGATAGGTAAACTGCCTTAAAAAGGAAGTGGGAGGACAGAAACAGAGGTAAGAATATGTAATGGTTCGGAGAAGTTACAGACAGGAAGGTGGGGAAGTTTGATGTGTATTGTCTGTGGAGGAAGCAAGAGGAAGTCTTGGGTACAGCAAGGGTAGAAACAAGTATCGTGGCACACCGCTGGGTACACAAATGGCCAGAAGCATGCATGACCAGAAGCAAACCCTCTCTCACTGTTTCCAATGAGGGAGCAGGGGAAGTCCTCAGCATCTGCATTCTAAGGAACAGATTAGCTTAACCTCAATGCTTCATTATATATCAGAGCAAATATTTATGGACAATGTCATCAAATTTCAGGGTGGAGTCAATATTAAGTTCTTTACCAGGCTTGCATTCAACTTGATTTATGCTTCCTGCCACTATCACTTCAACTCATCCAGCATTTACCCCAAATCACTATGTCCCAGGCGCTGTGTTAAAGCCGCTCAGCAAGATTCTTGTGGGGCACGATGAAACAGGCCACCGGCACTTCCACAGCCCTCTCTGCAACTGGGGCAGACTGCTCTGGGTCCACCTCACCCTCAAGCAGCACATCACAAACTGCAGGCAAGTTCACAGGAGGCCTCACTGAACACACAGACACAAAGGCTCCTCTTTCAGCGCCCAGTCCCCTCAGCCGGACACACACACACACACACACACACACACACACACACACACACACACACACACGGCAGCACGACAGGGCCCGCCCCCAGGCAGGTGAGGCTGCTCTTGTGCCTGCCCCAGTCCCCTCAGGTCCCCAGCCGCCCAGGGCCGACCCAAGGCTCAGGTAACCTGAACAGGGGAAGCAGCTGAGGTGTGATGGGGGTGTCGCCTTCCTCACCTGAGGGCCAGCCCAAGGCTCAGGTAACCTGAACAGGGGAAGCAGCAGAGGTGTGATGGGGGTGTCGCCTTCCTCACCTGAGGGCTCCCGGACTGAGAGGGGGCAGGCCAGGCTGAGGCAAGTCCCCCTCCAGTACATGGATTTTCATACACTGGGCTTCTAGTAATCTAATAACCACCCTTAGTGTGTTATAGGAAAAAGAAAAGTAATAGGGGTCAAAAAAAAAAAAAAACAAAACAAAAAAAACAGGGAGACTGGGCGGTGTGGCTATGATTTAATGTCGTCCCAGGCACCAGGAGATCACCAGTTCGATTCCTGGTCAGGGCACGTGCCCAGGTTGCAGCTCGATCTCCCAGTAGGAGGTATGCAGGAGGGCAGCCGGTTGAGGCTTCTCTTCCTCTCCCTCTCCCTCTTTAAAATCAATAAGAATATATTTAATTTTTTTAAAAAAAGATAGTCACAAAATGTTGGATATGTTTTTATTAAAAAAGAAAAAATGAGTTATTTCTGGTACAGAGTTCCTTGACCTTTATAGACACAGAGTAACTCAAATCAAGATATCCCTGCATACGAGTTCTCTTGACCCAAATTTGGGAACTAAACAGACATGGAAAACAAGAGGTATCTGACTGCTGTAAAACTAACTTTGGAGATTAAACAAACTTGTATGTACCACAGAGACTTGGTGACAGAAATTCACTGCTTAGGAAAAGGCATATATCTTGTCTAAAAGGGTTGAGCATGGATTACTCCATTTAAATAAATTATAACTAAAAGTAGAAGTATGGTCAAGAGCATTAGAGCCGAGACAAAAGGATGAAATATAAAAAAAGAAATTACGACAAGTGGTTCAGCGAGATGAACAAGGAGCCAAGAGTTCCCAACAGATAATAAAGCTATACAGGAACAAAACAGAGCAACAAGAGAAGACCCCCAAGTATGTAACAGTGGTCAGGAATTCCCACTAGAAATGCAATAGAAACAGAGAGACTGGTCCTGAACACCTGAGTTCAAGTCTTCTTTCCACTTTTTACTTAGCATTTCTCCGAGCTTTGGCTATCCTTTCTGCAAAATGGTGATGGCAATATTTTTCTAAAAATATTATTGTGGCGCTTCAATCATAAAGCATCATAAATTCTAAAACTCTGTATGGCTGCTGTTAC